TCTTTTGGTTAAATTTGACATAATTTTTCGTTATTTTAAGATTCGTTAAAGAATACGAGGAATGTTTTTCCTGGAGTATATTTAACCAATTTGTGGGAACAACGTCCGTGCTGTGTTTCGTATGTGTTGCATTTGCTACGGTAAAATTTTTGATTTTTAATTCTTTCTTATAATAAACAATTTCAGCTGCCTCTTGTCAGTACGGATTCAGCTAAATACGCCATCTTTTTTTGTGTGGTAATCTGGCAAGTTTTGTTTTACTGTTACTTCGAAACACTGCTGTATGAAGAGGTAAGCTGGCACATTTTGGCCTTAAAAAACTGCTTCAGACTTTTAAATAATTCACAGTTTGCCAAATTTTTTATAAGTATAAGGTGAAACTAAATGAAGTAATGCTTTATTTTCAGAGTGACACGCTTGTGACTGCTATTTACTTAAGTCAGTGGTACGAATATCCCATTGAAACACAAAAACTTCTACTTACTTTAATGGAGCGATCGAAACAACCTATTATTCTCACAGCTGAAAAATTATTAGATTTAACTCTAAATACTTTCACAGCGGTAAAAACTGGTTCTAACATGTATTTCTTAATTCAAGTTTATTTTCTAGGTAGTGAAACGGAGTTATTCTTTAGTGGCACTATTAAAATAAATGTTTATATTTATTATGGCACTATAAATATAGGCACCATCCTTACCTAAGTTTCTAGAAAAACCGTCATTGATGTGACAACCGCAGTTTTACATAAGTCAAAATTCCAAATTAAATACATAATGCCGTTACATAACATTATTAAAACTAAAATTACATAGAAAGTAATCCTCAAATGAATAAAAACAATTTCTAATGACAAAAGATCGTACTTGTTTTTAAATTTGGGCAGTGGCAAAATACGGATATTTGGTGGCAACATATTAAAAAATTTAACTCCGTAGTATATAGTACAGTTTTGAGTGCATGTTAATCTATTGTGTTTCGATATTAAGTTGTTTCTATGTTTAGTATAATACTTATGGGTATCAGCGTGGCAATAATAGTCTTGAAAATTTTGTTTAACGTATATTAAGCTTGAAAAGATATATAACGAAGGAAAAGTCATAATCGCTAAATTAATAAAACTCTGTCTACAATCTGCCGTATAGTTTAATCCAGACATCACCCTTATTACCCTTCTCTGTAACTTAAAAATGAAATATCTGATGTGAGAATGTCCCCAAACCAAAATACCATAGAGCAACGTGGACTGAAATAAAGCAAAATAGGCAGTTTTTAATATTGTCAACGACACCTTGTCTTTTAGTTGCCTTAACAGAAACGTAACTGACGATAATTTGTGAGAAACAGCAATTCCCTGTGCATTCCAATTTAATTTATGTTCAATATTAATGCCTAGAAATAAAGTATGGTCAGAAAACATGTTACTGTATTTAACAGTAGAGGTTTTCAGTGAAAAAAGCATTCTGACGGTTTTATCTTGATTTATTGAAAGTAAATTATTGATAAACCATTCAGTAGCTCTCGTCTGCGTGTCCCTATCCTGCATTAATACGTCGTTATACTCATTGTTACTATTTAGAAGTGAGGTATCATCTGCAAATCGTGTACATTTCGTATCTTGTAAATGTAGCGGCAAATCATTAATGTAAATTAGAAAAAGTAAATGGCCCAGGACGGATCCTTGGGGGACCCCTTTTCTAATGGTTGCAAATTCCGATAACTCCCCATTGTAAATTACTCTTTGCAACCTATTTCCTAGAAAGGACGATATTAATCTACAACTCTCAGAAAATAAATAGTATCAATAGAGTTTCCGAATCAATACAGAATGGGACACGCAGTCGTAAGCTTTCCTCAAATCTAAAAAGTCGCGGACGCAATTTTAACTTGGTGTAAATAATCATTTATTCCATCTACAAAATCAATGATGGCATTTGGACTACTTTTTCCAGTTCGAAAACCAAATTGGTTTCGACAAATCAGATTATTCTGTTCTAAATATGAATTTAATGAATTTAATTGTAGATATAAATTTTTTTTCCAATATTTTAGAGAATATCGGCAAAAGGGAAATTGGCCGGTAGTTACCCATATTATTTTTTTCACCCTTCTTAAAAATAGGAATGACGGTAGCTATTTTCAGACAATTGGGAAAGGTAGATCTTACTATACAATTGTTTATCAATTTTGTCAGTGGGGAGATTATCACATCTTTAATACTTTTTATAAGATCCACACTGATACCATAACAACCGTTAGCTTTATTTTACGTAATTTGTCTATTATTTCACGAACATGGGTTCAAGATACTACGTCGAACTTAAAATAAGATCTTTCATGATTACTTTTACAATCACTATTTGAAGATAATAAAGAAATAGGATCACAATTTGGAGGAGACATATTATTGACTATATTATCTGCTATGCTGTTAAAATAATTATTATTAAAGTCCTTAGCATTTACATTACATTTGTTGGAGTCATGATTTATATTAACACTGTTATTTTTATTTTTAATGACCTCCCAAGTAGCTTTGACACAGTTTTTAGAATTTTGTATATATTCATCATTAGCCTTTATTTATGCTAACCTAATTTCATTTTGATATAATTTCTTTTGGGTAATCATAGCTACTTTTACGTCATCGTTATTTGTAAGTAAATATAACTCATGTAAAAAAGACAATTTCTTTTTTATTAGTCTAAGTTTATCATTGAACCAACTAATTCTTTTGGGGTTATCCGCCTTAATAATTTTTACAGGAAACGAAAGATGATAATAATGTAAAGTGATTTCAAGAAATCTCTGAAAACCAGCAAAGGTCCATTCTACACCATATAAATAATGATATAAATCAAATTTTCCAAGTTTGGTTATAGGCCTAATTTGTTTATAATAGTTCATAACTGGATAAGTTGAACAGTCAAATTGTAACAACATATCTATGTGACGAGATAGACCTAAATATAGAGGATCTACTTGAAATTGAAAACTGATATTAGTAAATATATTTTCAATACGATTAGACCCTCTTGTATTGAAATGTACAGTTGGTATGAGATTATAGCTTAAAAATAAGTCGCATAGTAAAGTTTTCTTCATACTGGTAGAATTAAACACTACATTAAAGTCTCCACCTATGATAACATTTTGATAGTGTTCTAATTTGCTTAATAATTTATTCATAATATCAATAAATAAATTGAATTCCCCTGCCGGAGGACGATAAATGTTGACAATTGTTACATTATTATCAATTAATTTAATTTCTGAAATTTCACATACTTTTCTATCGAAAATTGTTCAAGATTACACAGTCGTATGCATTCTAAATTTTGAGCTGTAAAAATAATAGATCCACCATAATTTTCTTGATCTCTTTCTTTTTAACAATTCACATTCCGTTTTTGAGAACCTGTGTTCACAGATGCATAACACTGAAATGGAGTCATTGATAGTTAATAGTTCTAGTGCTCCTATTTTATTGCGCATGGAGCAAATATTTACAAACAGTATTTTCATTTTATTTTTTACTTTGCTGGTGACGTTACCTTGATTGTTTTTACTAAAAAATTGAACCTCCTAACACATACACCTGGAGGCCAAAAGTTAGGTAGAGACAGATTTGCACATAGTGAGAAAGGGACTCCAATTTTGAAAGCAGAGTTGTTACCCACTGTATGAAGTTTTTCTACAACAAAATCCTCTTCCGGATATTCTTCTTTGAGATAGTTGACTACAGTATTTTCGGTGGCATTTTTATTGCTGATTCTTCCTACATACAACCATGCACGTTTAGCTGTACCAATAAGAAGTCCTTTAGAACGATCTTCAATTGCTGTACTTATATTAGCTATCTGCTTCTTTTTTCTGTCACGTTTGTAAGAGACTTCTTTCCAAGGAATATCCTTAGGGACATCAGAAATCGTATTATTGTTTTCTACTGCAGTTTTAATTATCCTTGTAGCCTGGACTTTTCTTGAATTGTCTTTATTAGCTGTTACTGGATTATCTGGTTTTGAATTGTCCTCGTTTTCTTGATCAGCTAGTACATTTTGAGAGGATAACTGAATCTGTTTACCCAAAACATGTTGGCCAATGACTGATGGATTGTTGGTGATTTTCGTAAGCGTTTTCAGGTTAGATTTCTTTGGTTCACTATTATCAGATGTAGCGAACTCATCTTTTTTCGTGATGAATCTGATAAGTTCGATGTTCGAATCTCGCAAATTCCTAACTTCAGTTCTTAGTTCTTTAAGTTTTGCTAGCAAATCTTCTGTTGCCCCATTTACAATTACACTAATCGCCATCTTAAATTCATGGCTTCTTAATACATCCGCTACGATTTCATGGATGTTAGCCGAGTCACAGTCACCTTGGTCTACCTCATGCAAACAGATTGGATTTTTCACTTGAAGGGCTCTGTTTAGGCAAGACGGATGAAACATAGAATCACATTTCTTGCAACTAACTGGATGAGCCACACTTCGACCACATTGTTTGCAGCTATTTGATATAAAATCAGCAGAATTTATCACACACGAAGACGCTGTTAATTTGTTCATGGCGCACGCGCAAGTCAACTCAAATAAATATTTTAATAAAATAACTTAATTAAAAAATTCGCATAAATGTATAACAATTGTTGTCTTTCAGTCAAGAATGTTTGAACTCAAATCGTGCGTCAAATAATACTTGCATGACAATACCTCAGTTAGTGTATGTACCTTGTAGAAGACATCCCTCGAGTTGAAAAATGTTTACCACGAAGACAAAGATCGTTGTCAAAAAATACTTCTCCAATACAAAAATTATTGTAGACCATAATCTACAACTTTGGCGCTGATCTTCAATAATAAAATAAACTCCCTTGTTGAAAATTTCTATACACATTTTGTGCAAGTAGCAAAGAAATATTATTTTAAGACATGTAAAGACACTAGCACAATAAAATACGTAAATAATGTACTTTGAGAAAGGACAGGATAAAAAAGGAATAAATGGGAGCAGCTTTATTTGCTAGTTATTTGCAAATATAGTGAGAATTGTACTACAAGCCCTCATGTAAATAACTTCTTTGGTTGACTTTCCTCGGGCCAAACTTCATCTTCAATCCACTTAATGAACCAGTAACTAACTCGTCTGTTTAGGTCTGGTTGATCATCCTGTCCTCTTTCCGAAGTCACACCAACTATGTCGTACATACACGACTTAGAATTGTTATTGTGAAATATATACAATGGACTACCAACACGATCAAGACTCGCATTCTAAAAATTCCTAAAGATAAGAAGGGTTCAAAAGACTATTCGCATGTCGTAGATTTTAAAAGCACTGAATTTGATTGCTGCATCATTTCTTAAAAATAAAAAAACAATTCTGATTTCTACCTCCTGTTGACTCTATAGGTAACTGTAGATGAGAAAGATTATTTAACTAACCTTACGATGTCGCTGTGGACTTGTGCAAATATGGAAATCATGTGCATATGGATTTGTTGGACCATTATTACAGGGTCCTTTTAGAACATCTACCTCTACTTCGATCAACTCTTTACTGATGATTTCTGCATCAGGCTTAAGATGCCATTCGGTAACAAAAACTTTTGTAACAGGAATGTTAACATATGCCTTTAGGCATGCCGGACGCACATACGCACTCATTTCTATTGGTTTTTCTAATTTTACTAGCGCTATCTCTTGTTTGTTAGAGGGATCTTGATGTAATATTGTCTTTGAAACTTTTATTTTCTGTCTATGGTTAGTATCATCACCATTCGCGATCCCTAACAACACTACCGTTGGTTCACTCCTAAAACAGAGAGATCCTTAAAAATTAATGAGTTCAAATACTAGCCGAGTGTGATAGTGCAATAAAACTGAGTACCAACATTGAAGAGGATGTAGAAAAAAAAACATTAAGTTATATAACACAGGGAACAAAGTGAAAAAAATTACTCGTATGTCCACCCAGCTCAAAATAACAGACGTCAAAGTTATTGATTGGCATAATTTGAGATAACTAACATGCCGGAAAAGTAACATTTCGTTACTCGTTCATTGAAAAATTATTTTTGACCAACTGAATTATTATTTTACAACTTACACTTTATACTCACAGCGCTGAGATACACAATGTGCGTCTGTTAAAATATATTGTTCACTGATAAGTGCTCCCATACAAAGCCACTGAGTTTCAAGCCAATTTTCTCTGTCGGGATATCCTAATAGCGCAATATGGGGAAAGTTTGTTCTGCTAGTCGGACTAATACTGCCAAGACATAATTGTTTCTCTTCTAAGATCGAAGCATATTCTCTACATTCTTAAACGTAATTTGATTATGGTTTTATTTTCGATGGGCGCGAAGTTTATTTTTACGTACTGTTTTCAGTTATGTAACCTGGTTGATAAATTTCTGGGCAACAAACAAGGGATATTTCGCTAACTTTTTCTTCACAATAAGTATATTGCGGTAGTTTTCTCCAAAGCCCTGCTACCCCTTCAATCATCCTGCAGATGTGTGGCACTAGACACCTACCTGGAGTGTCAGATGATTTAAGCATGCAAGGCGGTCCTATAAAAAAAATAAAGACGTTGAAATGAGTTAAAAGGGGGACAAATGACGCACTTAGTTTAACGACACCAAAATTAATGCAATTATTATACAAGCATTTTAGAAAAATATAACTAGGTACAAAATTTCTTTCATGGTTTCCGGTATTTAACATAAATTTTTCCCAAAATGAGAAAACAAAAATTATTATACACACATATTACTTTATTTTCAAAATAGAGTTATAGAATGAAGAAATCAACTTACCAACAATGCGCTCTGTATAAGCATTTTTAACCAAGACCATAATAACAACAATCAGGAATTTATACATTTCTTTACTGTTAAACGTACACTGGAGTATACAGCTCACGCTCTCTGCTACTTCAGTGCTACTCTTATCATCATGCAAATTGGGTAATTACGGCGGGTGAATGCAGGGACGACAACGTTTCCTCTACACGGTGTACATCAATAAGATCAACACAAGTGACACCTAATAGTTCACTATGATTTGTTAGAAGTAAGAGTAAGTTTTTCTTAGTTTACATATTTATTTGTTATTCTTACGTAAAAGTTAATAATATTTACATGCATCGTTATTGTTATTATTCTATTGACGGACAACGGACAACTCCAATTACAATAAGAGGACATAAAAGGACACAAATTTAAACTACTTCATTAATTCATCTAAAATAACAATTAACGACAAGAAAAACTAGCAATAGAAATGAGACCAGAAAAAAAAAATATATATCCATATGACACTAATTATAACGCTTAAACTAAAAAGACATTCATAAAAAAAAAATAGAATTCTTAATTAAAGATTGTGTCTGAAGTAATTCCTTTGTCCACGTTCAAACTCGTGTTTACCAATATGATACGAAACCGTTATATACTCAGATGATTTGCTGTCTCCGTTCTTAAGATAAGATGATTTTTTTTGAAAATTTCGTTGAAAATATTTTTAAATATTTCGAAGGACGATTCTGGAAAAACCAATGGAGTTATCGAAGAAATGAAAGCGGATATGACTTCTGCGGCCCGAAATCTACAAGAAAATGTATTTGGTGAAATTTCGAAAATTTCCTTGAAATTTGCTCGGAAATTGGGCGTATTTAGCATATTTTTTTCATATTTCAAAAGACGATTCTGGAAAAACCATTGGACTTATCAAAGAAATGAAAGCGGATATGACTTCTGCGGTCCGAACTCTACAAAAAACTGTATTTAGTAAAATTTCGAAAATTTCGTTGAAAATTGGCCGTATTATAAATATTTTTACTTATTTCAAAGGACGATTCTGGAAAAACCAATGGAGTTGTGTGAGAAATGGAAGCGGATATGACTTCTGCACCCCCAAACCTACAAGAAAATGTTTTTAGTGAAATTTCGAAAATTTAGTTGAAAATTTGTCCGAAATTGGTCTTATTTTTCATATTTTTGTGATATTTCGAAGGACGATTCTGGAAAAACCAATGGAGTTATCGAAGAAATGAAAGCGGATATGACTTCTGCGGCCCGAAATCTACAAGAAAATGTATTTGGTGAAATTTTGAAAATTTCGTTAAAATTTGGTCGGAAATTGGGCGTATTTTGCATATTTTTTTCATATTTCAAACGACGATTCTGGAAGAACCATAGGAGTTATCGAAGAATTGAAAGCGGATATGACTCCTGCGGCCCTAAGTGTACAAGAAAATGTATTTAGTGAAATTTCGAAAATTTTGTTGAAAATAGGTAGGAAATTGGGCGTATTTTGCATATTTATTTCATATTTCAAAGTACGATTCTGGAAAAACCAATGGAGTTATCTTAGAAATGAAAGCGGATATGACTTCAGCGGCCCGAAATCTATAAGAAAATGTATTTAGAGAAATTACGAAAATTTCGTTGAAATTTGGTCGAAAATTGGGCGTATTTCGCATATTTTTTTCATATTTCAAAGGACGATTCTGGGAAAACCAATGGAGTTATCGAAGAAATGAAAATGGATATCACTTCTGCAGACCGAAATCTACAAGAAAATGTACTTAGTGAAATTTCGAAAATTTCGTTGAAATTTGGTCGAAATTGAGCGTATATTGCATATTTTTTTTATATTTCCAAGGACGATTCTGGAAAAACCAATGGAGTTATCGAAGAAATGAAAGCGGATATGACTTCGGCGGCCCCAAATCTACAAGAAAATGTATTAAGTGAAATTTCGTAAATTTCGTTGAAAATTGGTCAGAAATTGGGTGTATTTTGCATATTTTTGTATATTTCAAAGGACGATTCTGGAAGAACCATTGGAGTTATCGAAATAATGAAAGCGGAGATGACTTTTGCGGCCCGAAATCTACACGAAAATGTATTTAGTGAAATTTCGCAAATTTCGTTAAAATTTGGTCGGAAATTGGGCGTATTTAGCATATTTTTTTCATATTCAAAAGACGATTCTGGAAAAACCAATGAAGTTATCGGATAGATGAAAGCAGATATGACTTCTGTAGCCTGAAGTCTACAAGAAAGTGTGTTTAGCGAAGTTTCGATAATTTCGTTGAAAATTGGTCGGAAATTTGGCGTATTTTGCATATTTCTTTCATTTTTCAAAGGACTTCTGGAAAAACCAATGGAGCTATCGAAGAAATGAAAGCGGATATGACTTCTGCGGCCCGAAATTTACAAGAAAATCTATTTAGTGAAATTTCGAAAATTTCGTTGAAAATTGGTCGGAAATTGAGCGTATATTGCATATTTTTTTCATATTTCAAAGGAAGATTCTGGAAGAACCATAGGAGTTATCAAAGAAATGAAAGCGAATATGGCTTCTGCAGCCCCAAACCTATAAGAAAATGTATTTAGTGAAATTTCGTAAATTTCGTTGAAAATTGGTCGGAAATTGGGTGTATTTTGCATATTTTTGTATATTTCAAAGGACGATTCTGGAAGAACCATTGCAATTTTCGAAGAAATGAAAGCCGATACGACTTCTGCGGCCCCAAAGATGTCTTCGATACAACCATTCGATGAATTTATACATTTACAATTTATAATAAAAATTTCAAAACCAAATTTTATGAACGTGTTGAAAAATTTTGTTATTCACACATTTCCGACAAACCCAAGCAACAAACACTATGGGAGCTATAGTTAACAAAGTTTGTATACCGTTACAAAACAATGTCATGTGACAGTACAATATAACAATATTTTGTATCGTTATTTTGCATTGTATAGAAATCTATAATATTTACGAAAATTTCGACTACTTTTAAAATTACCTAAAGAAGTTCTTCCGTAGATTGCGATCTCCTGACCTTATTTTTTGAAGCAAGGATATTTTTGCCATTAAATAAAATTAATTTCAAATTGAATGGTTCTAGAATTTTGCCTCGGGCCGACAGATACACTATATTTTTCAAATCGCTAAAAAAATTTGTGGATTTTTAGGCAACTCGTTCACAACTCAATTTTTCAAACTACACAGATAAAAAAGATTGTTTAAGGAGAATAAATTTTGTTTTGCCCAAAGAAATATGTTATTTCTATACCTGGAATGAAATATTTATTTGTTTTCCTATTTTTATTTCTTTGATATATTCAAAAAATTATTTCTTTATAATAAAATAACATTTGTTTGTAAATATCTCCAAAGTTAAATAAATATATGTTTGAATTGAAAAACAGTTACTTTATACTTTATAATAAAATTATTTGAAACAACATTTACATGTATTTGTATTAAGACAATCTTTACTTATTCCAGTCAATTATATATTTCTTTCAATTAAAATATTGAATTATTTGTATCAATTCTAAGGTTTATTTAAATTATGAAAGTGCTGTTTTGAATAAAACTCAAGAGTATTTTATATTGTTTATATATAAAAAAGGAAAACAATGTTGATTTCAACACAAATAGGAATGCAAAAAATATACTAACTTAATACTTTTACCTAAGAAAAATAAAAACTTACCAATATAAGATGTATAAAATTAAGATAACGTGATTTTTACAGTAGATCTTGAACATATGGAATTTTTAAGACTGTTTTGGTCTGTATTTTATATATCAACCACTGAATCAAATACCACACATGCTGGCATTCAAATGGGTATCGTGCGTCAAGAACATGGATAATTTTAAAACAAAAATCAATTGCATCTAACACCGAAATATTTTTATAGATGTTATTGTTAACAACAACATATGCCGCTGAAATATTATTCAAACTAGGTCCTACTAAAATGATATACGGTTGAACAGTTGTACCTCTGCAGTAATTATAGTCAATTTTCTCCTGTTTTGCTTTTTCAGTATCTCCAGGCACCTTTACGTGTAAAAAGAATCCATCACGACTTTCTGTTCTAAAAGGTTTCCAATGTTTTTGACCAATTCTGGTTCTCCCTTTAATTGGTACTAAAGAAAACAGCAAGTAGAGTTTAATGGCATTCTTTGAATCTGAAAATGTTAATATCTATAATATACCGGCTAAAAAATTGCTACTTCAATTTAATGTGTATAAACAATAGTTACATTAGATATGGTCATGTATGTATTTAAATACCTGTGGTAATATTCCCAGCAAGTAACTGTGTAAACGTTTCATCAGTTGCATTTAAACTACTCCTTCTTTTATGAATTACAGAATCAAAGAATGTTTCAAAAGCATTTTCTAAATCAATTGCGGTTAATTCAAGTTGGAACATCTGTTTGAAGTCGTATGAGACCTAAAAAATATGAACACTTTACTTGAGGATTTAATTTTGTATTTAGAATAATTTTCACCAGTTCTATAGCTATCTGCTCATTCAAAATCGGCCATTCATTAAGAAAATATTCTTTTGTCCCGTTCTTGTTATTACAAAATTTTCTTATTTCATAAGCATTTTTCCAATGTTGTAGTACATCTTCTACAGTTTCACGATTATGCAAAAGCCAAATTTGACTGTCCTTAGCACTCTGTGAGGGTTCTGGAACATTTTTAATAAAAATTGAATACCGGAAAAATACTGCAACTCACCATACGAAAATTACCGTACAACATGCATGCTAACTGCATGAATTCTTCCATTACTAATCTAGTACACCATTTATGTACCTACCTTTAAATGTTTCCAAAATGTGTTGCAAGCCGTTTTGAATAAAAAAATCTTCCATTTTTTACACAGCACCAAACCACTTCCACATCTTTTGCCAATGCATGCGTTTTCATAACAAGTTTCACGGCGAACTGAGAAGCTGCATCATGATTGGTTAAAACATATCACGTAATGCACAGTCCAATTAAATATTTATTTGATTCAAATAAAATGCAATATTATTTTCGAAAAATATTTATCAAGTCTACATTTTTTTGAACTAATGAAATCGTCACATTGTCTTAACATACTTGAATTGTTTCTGAAATTTAATTAAATATTTTTTTAGTGTGATACTTCATCGTCTTGGGTGAAAGATGTCCAATTTTTTAAACACAAAAAAACAAGAATATAAGTCAAACAAATTCATTTATTCCTATCAAAAATATTAATTTTCATACAAAACAAATATTTTTCGCTCGAAGAAATGACATTCAAATAAATTAAAATTCTTATTTCAAGAAAGTGTTTTTCTCTATGTACTATATTTTGTCTTTATTTCTTAATATACGTTGTCATCTTTTGAGAACAAGAAACTTAAAACATATTTAAAATGGTAAATTTTTGTATTTCTTGGCTCACGATGTGTAGGAAAAATCGTCACGATAGAGGTGGCGCGGATGGGCGTGGTTAATATTATATCTTTTTTTCTTAATATATGTAGTCAGCTGTTTTAAGATTTTGTTGTGAAAAGGTGACTACGTATATTAAAAAAAAAGCAAAATACAAGCCCCGCCCACCCACCCTTCCCCAATTGTGACGATTTCTTTTATTCGTCGTGAGTCAAGAGGGAGGAGCTTAATTGCAAAATCACATGTTTTTGAGTGGCGTATTGTTCAAAGAATACCATGTATATTAAGTGAAAATTTAAACCAGATTGAGATCGGGAAGGGTGGGGCTTATCTCTTGGCTTTCTTTTTTACTTAATAGAAATAGTTTGCTTTAAACAATACGATTGCTCAAGAACAGGTTTCACATAGCAATTTCTCCTAGAAGAACAAGGAGTAGGCAATTAAGCTCCGCCCCCCTGCTAACGACAAATAAAAAAAATCATCACGATTGAGATAGGGTGGGTGGGTGGGGCTTATATATTCCCTTTTTTCTTAATATACGCAGTCTTTTTTTCAGAACGGGAAGCTTAGAACATGTTTAAAATGGTAAATATTTGTAGATAAAGATGACAGGTTGAAAGAGTTTGTTTTCACAATCTGAATTCAAGCCAGTTGTCAGAATTACATCTAGAATTGGCAAGCTATACATTTGGTACCTTATATGGAAATCTAGGTAGTAACGTTATATGTTTAATCAAGAAATTCTTACAGAACCACATCATTTTAACAGTACATAACACCTTTGGATTCTACACAAATTTCAAAAATTGAATATAAGAAATTGTTTCGAAAAACTGCCAAAATCTCTCGAGTAGTCAGTTAGTGTATGTACCTTGCGGAAGACATTCCTCGAGTTGAAAAATGTTTACCAAGAAGACAAAGATCGTTGTCAAAAACACTACTCCAATACAAAAATTATTGTATACTATAATCTACAATTTTGGCGCTGATCTTCAGTAATAAAAAAACTCCCTTGCTGAAAATTTCTATACAAATTTTGTGCAAGTAGCAAAGAAATATTATTTTAAGACATGTATAAACACTGGCACAATAAAATTTGTAAATAATGTACTTTGAGGAAAGAGAGGATAACAAAAGGGATAAATGGGAGCAGTTTTATTTTTATTTATTTATTTATTTATTTATTTCAATACAGTGCCCAACGGGCTTAAGGCCCAATAACAGGACAAGGTAATCATACATACATAAAAATACAATACTTATAACAAAACAAAAATAAACTAATAATAACATGTGCAGATAGGTGACTTACGGATGTTCAGGTCGAAATTGTTTTTTTATATCATTTGAGGTTGAATTAAAAATGTCGATATTATCTTGGATACAGGTGTAGTTGGCGAGCATGAAGATGAGAGGTGAATTGGACATAATGTTGGTCCTAGAAGTCTTGATGTAGAAAGTGTCGTTACTTCTAGTGTCGCGTACAGGAATCTTGAAATCCAACTGATTTAGTATACAAACACATTCATGTCGCCCGTGTATGAGATTAAAAAGAAATAGGATGGAGTGTTCAATTCTTCTTGTAACTAGAGAATTCAAACTAAATTTTCTCAGTAGCAATTCTTGCGGATAGCCTTGTGGGGGGTAAACCCCTTCCGATAAATACGAAGCTGTTTTAAGAAACCTGCGCTGGACCCTCTCTAATTCTGATATGTAAATGTTATACAAATGTGACCACACCAGCGATGCATACTCAAGATGTGATCTGACATATGCAGTATACAGTAATTTCAAAGTATCGACATCATTAAAAAGGCGACCATTTCGTAGTATGAACCCTAAAGATTTAAAAGCAGAGCTAACAATCGAATCGATATGATATTTAAAACTGAGTTTTGGATCATAGATAACTCCAAGATCACGCATAACATTGGGTCTCGCAAGCTGAATGCCGTTAATTTCATAAACATAAGTTAACGGCGTTAGTTTATGTGTGAATGACATTACTAGACATTTTCCGGTATTTAAAATAAGATAGTTATTTAGGCACCATTGGTATATTTAATTTAAGTTTTGCTGTAGACGTTCACTGTCATCATATGATTTTATAACAGAATATAGTTTTTGATCATCAGCAAACATTAGGGAGGGTACATCAATAACATCTACTATGTCATTGATGAAGATATTGAAAAACAATGGCCCAAGAACAGAGCCTTGGGGTACGCCACTGACTTGTTTAAATGCTTTCGATTTAAATCCTTTTACATTGACATAAAGTAACCTGTCATTTAAGTATGATTCCACTAATTTTATCAGACCATTCGAAAAACCAAAGTTGTTATTTAATTTCCACAGTAAAAGACGATGATTGATCTTGTCGAACGCTTTAGAAAAGTCTGTGTCAATGACGTCGACTTGTTGTTGGTTATCTAAGGCCTCGGATATAAACTGTGTCAAAGTTACGAGATTCGTTTCAGTTGAACGTTTTCTTACAAATCCATGTTGGGTTGACGATAGAACAGTAGCGACATTATCGTAAATATTTGCATATAAAAGATGTTCAAAAATTTTGGAAAAGTTATTAATTATAGAGATCGGTCTATAGTTTTCTAAATCTGATTTATCACCTTTTTTAAAGACTGGACATATACGTGAGAGTTTCCATTTTTGAGGAAATGTAGATGTTTTTAAAATTATATTAAATAAGATTGTTAATGGAATTACAAATATGTGCGCACAGTCCCTTATGGTAAAGGCGGGTATTAAGTCAGGGCCAGACGTTGTAGCAGCTTTTAATTTTTTGATTGCAGACAGTACTTGTTTTTCCGTTACCATACTGATGTGGATTAGGTTTGCATGGTAGTTAGAAGGCTGTGGATTTGCGTTTATTGACGATTTGGTGAAGGATTTAGAGAAATAGTGCGCAAAATTATCCGCTATCCGCTGAGGATCATGAATAGTATCACCCTCATATGTAATTGTAGATGGAATTGTATCTGCATTATTTTTTGATTTTATAAAGGACCAGAAATGTTTTGGATCACTTTTGATGTTTTGGTTTATATTTTTTATGTAATCAGAGTAAGCTGCCTTAATATCAGATTTTAATTTTGCCCTAAGGGATTTAAATAAACCGAAGTCCTCTGGCGTACTAGACTTTTTGTAGCGTTTCCATGCCGACGTCTTTTGTTTTAACATATGGATTATTTGGCCATTAAACCACCGAGGATAAATGCGCGTGGTTGGTTTCCTTTTTTTCGGAACACATTTTTCAAAAATCTCATATAACATATTATAGAATTTAGTAACAGCTTCATTTACATCTGAGAAATGGTTAAGGGATGACCAGTTTGTTTCATATAATAGCGAATATAACAGGACGAAATTACTTTTTTTAAAATTGAATTCATTCTCATTTACCGAGGTTATGTTTTTATGGCAGTAACTAGTAAATTTAAAATCAATATCCAAAGCTGGATGGTGCTTGTCCTCTGGGACTAGACATTCACCTGCTCTAGAGACAGTGCACTGGCTGTGGTTAGTGACTAGAACAAGATCTAGTAGTCTATTATTAGCGTTCAAGATATGATTACACTGTTTCATGTCAAAAAAGTTCATTAGTTGGTTTAGACTAGAAAGATATTTAAAATTAGAGCAACTAGATATGGATTGGACAAATTCGGGAACGTTAAAGTCACCAAGAAAGAGTAACTCAGATCCGAAAAGACATTCTAAGGATAGTAGATAGTCGACGAAAACATCATAAGCTGTGCTATCACAGGAGGGAGGAATATATATAAGCAATACAAATAATGTGCGAGAATGGGAACCAAGCTTTACTAACAAAAAATCTATTAGGGGTGATATATTTATACTGTTATCAGAGCGATCAAATTTTATCAGCTCAGCATTTAGTCGCTGGTCAATAGCTAGTAATACACCTCCACCACTTTTCAGACCCGTAGTGTCATTATTTCGGTCAGTCCTGAAGATGTTGTATTTGTTAAGGTCGAAAAATTCCGCATTATTTATGCTGCTGTTAAGCCAGGTTTCCGTTAAACCAATGATGTCGTAGTGTATAAGACCTGAGCATGTAGAATAGAATTCTGTTATTTTAGTGCATAACCCTCTCGTGTTTTGATAGCAAAATATTTGCGACGATTTCTGTGTGGAAATATTAGAATATAATAATGTGCACTTGGATTTTGATGCCTTACCATTATGGTAAATATCGTGGAGAGTAGTGTTGTTGTTACGAGAAGTGGAAAAACGAGTGGAATTGTTAACCAAAAAATTAGGCGCAACGGAATTATCTATAAAAAATGAGAATTGTTTCTCGAGGATAAATTTTTTATCATATGACGATTAGATGAGCTGCTGTGAGGATAATTCTTGTGAGTAAAGGGACGTCGTACGTTCATATTTAAAGTAGCAGAGGAATTATCCGTGTTACAAATTATGTGATGAACTATGTTTTTAATTATATTTCTTTTAGCAGCTTGGTTAAATATGACAGCATCAGTTTTAAATTGATTGTATAAAAGCTCATTGGGATCCAAATACGAATATCTTTCAAGATTTATACTCTGTGTAGCTATGTTACGTAAATTGCAATTTAATTCATAAGCCGACTTGTTCCTATCAGAACGACCATTAAAATACGGACATCCTACAATAACTGTTTTATTTTTTTTAAACTTATCGCGAAATGTTTTATGCAACGTGTCCACATCAGATACTTTGCCATTTTTTACCTCCAGATTGCCACCAAATATAATTAAGTAATCATCATTGCTAAGATCAAAGTTTCATTATCGCAGTCCGTTAAGCCAGTCAAAGATGCATTTGGTTTAACTACTGATAATAAATCAGATTCATTATGTGGAAGGTAATCATTCATTAAGTCAACACAATTTCGTCCTTTTTCGTCAGCTAATAAAATAATTTTGCGTTTTTTTGTTAATTGTGGCGACTGTGATGTTTTTGATTTTCTAGATGATGGTGGTTTGTTGGATTCGATAATATTCGATTCATGAGTAGATTGGAGATTTGGTAGCATACGCAATAAAGGTTCAAATGATTCACGGCAAAAATCCTGCAAAGTTGGTTTCAGAGAGTCAACTTCTTTTTTGATATTATTATTTAATGATGTTATTAATTCTTTACGTAAGTCATCAAATAATCTACCTAGATATTGCTCCATATTCACTACCATGTGTTGTACAGATTCTTTATATGATTTTTTAAGGTCTTCTAAATCGGTTTGTAAAGAATCAATTTGATTGCGAAGTAAAGTGATCAAAGAATCATCAGGCTCAGGAAGAGATGGGCGTATCTGAGTAGATCCTACTGCTGAGGTTATTTGATTTTTTTCGCAGCGAGGGCAACCGTTAACCGTTGTACTATCATTAGAAACTGTAGAGTAGTTTTTATATATTCTGAGACAGCTAGGATGAAATGAGCTTTTACATTTAGAACATGTTACGTGATCAATTACTGAGCATTTACATTTTTGGCAAGTACTCATGTTGAAAATAGGAATTTAAAATAGCGGTATGGATGTATAACAAGGGTTGTTAAAAAAATCAGCTGAATTTTAATTGAATGAGTGCTAGAATTACACTTTTCACCTTTATGACTATAAAATCCACTGATTTTGTTGCTACATCGACAATTTTATCAGTGTTTGTAAAAAGATATCTAAATAAAGTAAGAAAAACAAGCCGTAAAACGTATCGATCGCATCGAATTTCGATATAAGGAAGAATAAAAACTTAATATTTGTCTTAAAAAAGCAGTAATGCAAGGGAAAAAATATTGTCAAATAAACCCAGAATATGACTTCACTTACTGTAAAATTATTAATAATTAATTGTTTGAAATACCACAGAAAATCACATAAAACTCAGAGCACCTATCTACACAGCTCACACACACGTTCACAGGTTCACACCGATCTTTGCTAGTTATTTGCAAATATAGTGAGAATTGTACTACAAGCCCTCATGTAAATAACTTCTTTGGTTGACTTTTCTCAGGCCAAACTTCATCTTCAATCCACTTAATGAACCAGTAACTAATTCGTGTGTTTAGATCTGGTTGATTATACAGTCCTCTTTCCGAAGTCACACCAACTATGTCGTACATACACGAGGTAGAATTGTTATTGTGATATATATACAATGGACTACCAACACGATCAAGACTCGCATTCTAAAAATTCCTACAGATAAGAATGGTTCAAAAGAATATTCGCATGTTTTAGATTTTAAAAACACTGAATTTGATTGCTGCATAATTTCTTAAAAATAAAAAAACAATTCTGATTTCTATCTTCTGTTGACTCTATAGATCACTGTAGATGAGAAAGAGTATTTAACTAACCTTACGATGTCGCTGTGGACTTGTGCAAATATGGAAATCATGTGCATATGGATTTACTGGGCCATCATAACATGGCTTTTTTGGAATATGTAATTTCACTTGGATCAACTCTTTACTCTTGACTCTTGCATCACGCTTAAGACGCCATTCGGTAACAAAAACTTTTGTAACAGGAATGTCAACATATGCCTTTAGGCATGCCGGACGCACATACGAACTCATTTCTATTGGTTTTTCTAATTTTACTAGTGCTATCTCCTGTTTGTTAGAGGGATCTTGATGTAATATTGTCTTTGAAACTTTTATTTCCTGTCTGTGGTTAGTATCATCACTATTCGTGACCCCTAACAACACCACCGTTGGTTCACTCCTAAAACAGGGAGATCCTTAAAAATGAATGATTTCAAATACTAGCCGAGTGTGATGGTGCAATAAAACTGAGCATCAACTTTGAAGAGGATGTAGAAAAGAGAAAAAAAACATTAAGTTATATAATACAGGGAACAAAGTGAAAAAAATTACTCGTACATCCACCCAACTCAAAATTATCTCTCAATTATTATGCACATAAAATAACAGACGTCAACGTTAAATTATAATTTCAAAACTTACACATTATACTCACAGCGGCGCGATATACAATGTGCTTCTGTTAAAACATATTGTTCACTGATAAGTGCTCCCATACAAAGCCACTGAGTTTCAGGCCAATTTTCTTGGCCGGGATATCCTAATAGCGCTATATGGGGAAAGTTTGTTATGCTAGTCGGACTAGTATTGCGAACACATAATTGTTTCTCTTCTTTGAGGGAAGCATATTCTCTACATTCTTAAACGTAATTTGATTGTTGTTTTATTTTCGATGCGCACGAAGTTCATTTTTACGTACTGTTTTCAGTTATGTAACCTGGTTGATAAATTTCTGGACAACAAACAAGGGATATTTCGCTAGCTTTTTCTTTACAATAAGTGTATTTTGGTAGTTTTCTCCAAAGCCCTGCTACCTCTTCAATCATCCTGCAGATGTGTGGCACTAGACACCTACCTGGAGTGCTAGATGATTTAATGATGCAAGGCGGTCCTATAAAAAAAATAAAGACGTTGAAATGAGTTAAAAGGGGGACAAATGAGGTACTTAGTTTAACGACACCAAAGTTAATGCAATTATTATATTTCATGGTTGCCGGTATTTAACATAATTTTTTTCCCAAAATGAGTAAACAAAAATTATTATACACATATTACTTTATTTTCAAAATAGAGTTATACAAAGAAGAAATCAACTTACCAACAATGCGCTCTGTATAAGCATTTTTAACCAAGACCATAATAACAACAATCAGGAATTTATGCATTTCTTTACTGTTAAACGTACACTGGAGTATACAGCTCACGCTCTCTGCTACTTTAGTGCTACTCTTGTCATCATGCAAATTGGGTAATTACGGCGGGTGAATGCGGGGACGACAACGTTTCCTCTCCACGGTGTACATCAATGAGATCAACACAAGTGACACCTAATGGTTCATTATGATTTGTTAGAAGTAGAGAGCGGAAAATATGCAGCAAAATTTTGGAAAATATGATCATATGATATGCATCAAATTTATGCAAATATGCAGTAACTTTGTTAATATATGCAGAGATATGCATTTGCATATGCTCCAAAAATAAAAAAAAATCGTAATAACCGAACTAAATTTATTTACACATTACAAAAATAGGTTTTTCGAGCATAAGTTGTATTACAAAAAATACATAAATCACATTGCAAAGTGTTTAATTAATTCTCACTAACACAAATCACATTTTTGAAGATAATATTGTTATACTAAAAAATAAATATAAACGGAACAAATTGAAAAATAGTAGTAATCGACTATTTAATTACTATTTTGGTAACAGTTTATTTTTAAATATTTTTCGAAATATTCTAACAAAAAGTTTTTCCTGTGATTCTAAAATATGCTTTTCTAAGTAGAAAAAGTGCGTACTACGTCCACAGATGTATAAATATCCTTACCGGTTTAGAGCAGGCGCGACAAAACAGAGTTCCTTCTTGAAGAATAATTTCAGGAAAGGGTTTAATCCATAAATTAATCGTCGCCATATTGACACACCTGTATCGCTTTAAATCCTTTCAATGCAAACTCGCCATCAAAAACAATAGGTAAGGTAACGTCCCTTCGACCACCATAGAACATACACAGAAAAAAGTTTACTTGTAAATTTACTGTGAAAATCACAGGTAATTTGTAACCCGAGATAATAAGGGTAATATTCCAACGAAATGTATTTTTAAGTTTGAATGTGATATTTACTTTTTGAATGTAAATCGAAATTACAAAAGAACATGTAAAATCTTTGCATCATTTCCAAAACTGCTGATACTTCGTCTGGATATTCTAAATTCATTATAAAATATAATCCAAACGCCCAAGATACTGCATCTTTTAAAGTGACAACACTTGGAATCACTACTTGTCGTTCTAAAACTACGTGATAAATTGTTTGTGGATCGCTCTCTAGAAAAATACAAAAATACATTAAAATGTTATAGGTACAAAGACGTTTTAAATACTTGCCTATTTCAATTGCACATGGCGCAGCCACCTTGATAATTTCGTTTAAATTATTCATATCATCACCCTGTGATAAAAATTGCATTAACATAACAATTAAAGATGACATGAGCAAATTATAGTAAGTAATTATCCGCCTGGAAAGTATACTTTTGTAACTGGAGGAAAATAGTAAACCAGAATAGTAAAGTACTTACCGTTAACAACAAAATACACTATTTTGTACAAAATATATTACCACAACTAATGCACACCAACTTGTTATAACCTGCAAGCGTTATAGTAATGATTGCGTGAGCATCAACAATTCACAGTATGCATGTGATTTGACCGGTAGACTGGATTATTTTACAAAGTTGGAAGTAATTGTAAAAAATGTTAGTATATTTACGGTATTATAAAGTATAATTCATTTATAAAGTGAATATACATTTACAATTGCGATTCTGTATTGTGTTTTTTCAATTTGACTTGTGAAAATACAAATAGTGACACAAGTTTACTTATTTTATGCACAATGCTGCTAACTTACGTAAATTTACTAAATTTAAGTAAAAAAATACATAAAAAGCAACAGTAAAATAATTGTAAATTTACACGACTTTTTTCTGTGTACCATTAATACACTTAAGTAACGAACAAAAATATTGGGAATGAACAGTACTTACAAAAGTAATTAGAGCCCGAATTTACCTGGAAGAATGGCTTAACACCCGGTGGTTTCTCCAAACTACCATAAAATCCAAATCTTTACTAGTTATTTGAAGCTCAGGACAATATTTGCAATATGATTAATGAAATTTCGCCGATAGAATGGCATTTCTTTTTCAAATTAGCACAAAAATTGATAAAAATGCAAAATATGCACGTGAAATATGCAACAGAAGGTAAATATATGCAAATATGCAATTTTTTTATAGCCGTATTCATTTTTAATTAGTATGATTCGTTCACATATTAAATATCAAGACTTATATGCAAAAAATAACGGATATGCAAATTCCATAAAATCCGCTCTCTAGTTAGAAGTAAGAGTGACAGACGCAAAACCCACGTGTTTTTCTTAGTTTATATATTTATTTGTTATTACTTACGTAAAAGTTATTAATATTTATATATATCGTTATTGCTATTATTTTATTGACGGATAACTCCAATTACAATGAAAGGACATAAAAGGACACAAACTTAAACTACTTGATTAATTCATCTAAAATAACAATTAAAGACAAGAAAAACTAGCAATAGAAATGAGACCAGATAAAAAATATATATATTCATATGACACTATTTATAACGCTTAAACTAAAAAGACATAAATAAAAAAAAATTAAAATTCTTAATTAAAGATTGTGTCTGACGTAATCCCTTTGTCCACGTTTAAACTCGTGTTTACCACTATAATACGAAATCGTTATATTTACTTAGATGATTTGCTGTCTCCATTCTTAAGATAAGATGATTTTTTTGTACTTAGTGAAATTTCGAAAATTTCGTTGAAAATTGGTTGTATTTTGCATGTATTTATGTACTTCATAGAACGATTCTGTAAAAACCGTAGGAATTATCAAAGAAATGAAACCTGAAATGACTTCTGGGACCCGAAGTCTACAAGAAAATATATTTGGTGAAATTTCGAAAATTTCGTTAAAATTTGTAATATTTTGTAAATTTTTTTCTTATTTCGAAGGACGATTCTGGAAGGACCATTAGAGTTATCGAAGAAATGAAAGCGGATATGACTTCTGCAGCCCGAAATTACAAGATAATGTATTTAGTGAAATTTCGAAAATTTCGTTGAAAATTGGTCGGAAATTGAGCGTATTTTGCATATTTTTTTCATATTTCAAAGCACGATTCTGGAAAAACCAATGGAGTTATCGAAGAAAAGAAAGCGGATATGACTTTTGCGGCCCCAAATCTACAAGAAAATGTATCTAGTGAAATTACGAAAATTTCGTTAAAATTTGGTCGGAAATTGGGCGTATTTTGCATATTTTTGTATATTTCGAAGGACGATTCTGGAAGGACCATTACAGTTATCGAAGAAATGAAAGCGGATATGACTCCTGCGGCCCTAAATGTACAAGAAAATGTATTTAGTGAAATTTCGAAAATTTCGTTGAAAATTGGTCGGAAATTGGGCGTATTTTGCATATTTTTCTCATTTTTCAAAGGACGATTGTGGAAAAACCAATGGAATTATCGAAGAAATGAAATGGGATATGACTTCTGCGGCCCGAAGTCTAGAAAAAAAATTTTTTGTAAAATTTCGAAAATTTCGTTGAAAATTGTTCGTATTATGCATATTTTTACGTATTTCAAAGGACGATTCTGGAAAATCCAATGGATTTATCGAAGAAAAGAAAGCGGCAATGACTTCTGCGTCCCGAAATCTACAATCAAATGTTTTTAGTGAAATTTCTATAATTTTGTTGAACTTTGGTCGGAAATTGGGCGTATTTCGCATATTTTTTTCATATTTCAAAGGACGATTCTGGAAATCCCAATGGATTTATCACAGAAATGAAAGTGGATATGAATCTGGGGCCCGAAATCTACAAGAAAATGTATTTAGTGAAATTTTGAAAATTTCCTTAAAATTTGGTCGGAAATTGGGCGTATTTTGCATATTTTTTTCATATTTCAAAGGACGATTCTGGAAGAACCATAGGAGTTATCGAAGAATTGAAAGCGGATATGACTCCTGCGGCCCTAAGTGTACAAGAAAATGTATTTAGTGAAATTTCGAAAATTTTGTTGAAAATAGGTAGGAAATTGGGCGTATTTTGCATATTTATTTCATATTTCAAAGTACGATTCTGGAAAAACCAATGGAGTTATCTTAGAAATGAAAGCGGATATGACTTCAGCGGCCCGAAATCTATAAGAAAATGTATTTAGAGAAATTACGAAAATTTCGTTGAAATTTGGTCGAAAATTGGGCGTATTTCGCATATTTTTTTCATATTTCAAAGGGCGATTCTGGAAAAACCAATGGAGTTATCGAAGAAATGAAAATGGATATCACTTTTGCGGCCCGAAATCTAGAAGAAAATGTATTTGGTGAAATTTCGAAAATTTCGTTGAAAATTGGTCGGAAATTGGGCGTATTTTGTATATTTTTTTTCATTTTTCAAATAACGATTCTGGAAAAAGCAATGGAGTTATCGAACAAATGAAAGCGGATATGATTTCTGGGGCCCGAAATTTACAAGAAAATCTATTTAGCGAAATTTCGAATATTTCGTTGAAATTTGGTCATAATTTGGGCGTATATTGCATATTTTTTTCATATTTCAAAGGCCGCTTCTGGAAGAACCATTGGAGTTATCGAAGAAATGAAAGTGGATATGACTCCTGTGGCCCGAAATCCACAAGAAAATGTATTTAGTGAAATTTCGAGAATTTCGTTGAAAATTTGTCGGAAATTGGGCGTATTTTGCATATATTTTTCATATTTCAGAGGAGGATTCTGGAAAAACCAATGTAGTTAACGAAGAAATGAAAGCGGATACGACTTCTGCGGCCCCAAAGAGGTCTTCGATACAACCATTCGATGAATTTATACTTCCCATTTCCAATTTATAATAAAAATTTCCGAATCAAATTTTATGAACATTTTGAAAAATTTTGTTATAAACAGATTTTCCGACAAACCCAAGCAACAAAATCTATGGGAGATATACTTAAAAAAGTTTGTATGACGCTACAAAACAACGTAATGTGACAGTATAGTAACAATATTACGTAACGTTATTTGGCATTGTATAGAAAATTATAATAATATTTACGAAAATTTAGACTACTTTTAAAATTACCTAAAGAAGTTCTTCTGTAGATCGCGGTTATTTTTTGAATGGATATTTTTACCATTAGAAAAAATGAATTTCAAATGAAATATTTCTAAAGTTTTGCCTCGGGGCCACATATACAGTATATTTTCAAATCACTACCTCCCAATGTACGTCTCAAAATTTTTCTGGATTTTTTAGGCAACTTTTTCACAACTCAATTTTTCAATACTACTATATTTTGTCTATATTATTTCTTAATATACGAGGTCATGTTTTCACAACCAGAAACTTAAAGCATATTTAAAATGGTAAATTTTTGTATGTCTTGGCTCACGACGTGAAAGAAAAATCGTCACGATAGAGATAGGGTGGGTGAGCGGGGTTAATATTATGCCTTTTTTTCTTAATATATGTTTTAAGGTTTTGTTGTTAAACGATGAATGCGTATATTAAATAAAACGCAAAATATAAACCCCGCCCACCCACCCTTCCTTACTTGTGACGATTTCTTTTATTCGTCGTGAGGCAAGAGGGCGATGCTCAGTTACAAAATCCTTATTTCTCCGCAAGGAATTACCATGTAAGACATGTTTTTGAGTACCGTATTGTTCAAGAAATGCCATGTATATTAAGTGAAAATAATTAAAGCCAGATAGAAATAGTTTGCTTTAAACAACACGATTGCTCAAGAACAGGTTTCACATATCAATTTCTTCTAGAAAAACAAGATTGGCAATTAAACTCCGCCCTCCTGCTAACGACAAATAAAAAAAAATGATTACGATTGCGATAGGGTGGGTGGGTGGGGCATACATTTTCCCTTTTTTTCTTAATACACGTAGTCATTTTTTCAGAACGAGAAACTTAGAATATGTTTAAAATGGTAAATTTTTGTAGACAAAGCTGACAGGTTGAAAGAGTTTCCTTTTTCACAGATAAAAATTCTGCCATTTTTCAGAATTACATCTAGAATTGGCTTCAAGCTATACATTTGGTACCTTACCTGGAAATCTAGGTCGCAACGTTATATGTTTAGCGTAGAAATTCTTACAGAACCACACCACTTCAATTCTACAGAAATTTCAAAAATGAAATAGAAGACAAATTTAAATTTACTTTTGAAAGATTAAAATCGAACGATAGACATTCACTTTTCTTTTTAATTGTTAAAAACGTTGCTTTTGTGTTTGAGTAAAAAAGTTGTTTTGAATTTCGTATTTTTCCCATCTGTCATAAAATTATCTCACTGAATTACACTCGACCTGTTCATTTCTATCCGGATAAATTTTTATTTTACAAATTAAGTCAGTTCTCACCTGCTGCTGTCTATCACTTAAGAATGACGTTAAGTTTATTGACAAAAGCATAATTAAGAAAGCAATAGTATTCTACTAAGTTTGACAGAGTCGACCTATTTTTATCGAAACCATGTTGTTTTTCAGAAATAATGCAGGATGACATACACTGCAATTGTTCAGACACAATGAAGTCAAAAATCTTTTCAATAACACATTGGTTACACACTCCTCTGCAATTATCAGTTCTATTCCGTTCACCAACCAGTTTTGAAAATGGGAATAATATAACGACGGTTGAAATAACAAAATCAATGGGAAAGAAATTGTGAAGACACAGTTTTTGAAGAGAATGCTTGGAACCCCATCTGGACCATATTTGGAGGAGGATTTTATTTGAGAAATGTGCTCAAACACCTCACGAATAGACATTTTTAAACCATGATCATTTATTTCGATCAGCTACTCGAAAACAAATTTTTTGTCAAAATAGGTCCCTGTCATATTATGTTAGTGTTTGTTGACTATTATACATAAAATTTCAAGTTTATGTCTACATATGGCAATCTCATTTATTTTTTCATTAAGAAACTTCCAAGCAGGAGATGGATCAGTACGCATTTCAGTATTCATTACAGTCATATAATAGCCATGAGATTGCCTTGTCAAAATTTTATATAAGTATAAGGTAGATTTTAAATTAAAAAAAAAAAACATATAATGTACAAAATTATGATATTTTTTATATTTTTTGTGAACTTGCTTTTTTAAACTAATTAGATGTTTTAGTTCGTGAGAAATCCATTTAGGGTAATTTGAAGGTCTATGCCTCTTTCTTGGGATAAAGTGATCAATTCAAAACATTTTCTATGTCCGATATCATAAATAATACGTCCCAATTTGTATAAAAAAATTATTATTTATTTCTGCATAATTAACATCTATAAAATTACGATAAAAACGATGACATTTTAAATAACATTCACTAAAATATAAATTGAATTCTAATTATTGATAACCACTTTGGAATTGTAAATTGTATGTGAAACATAGCGAAGAGTTGACAAGAGTGTTAAGTCTCGGAGCAGAGTAAAAATAGACAATGGAAATACAAGAATAAAGCAAAAATTAGATCATGTGAAGGGCAAATAGAGTAAATAATGCGAGTAAACAGGAAGATAATGGTCGAAAAAGGAGATTTCAAGAAAAAATAATCCTGCAAAAGGAGAAAATAGAAATTCTCGAAAGAGAGATAAGAAACAAGAATTTAGTAATACATTGAATAGGAGAAGAGACAAGTGAGAATGAGATTGCAGTGTACATTTCCAAGATTAAAAATACTTTTAATTTAATTCCTTTGTTTTATTTTCCGAATGGTTTCAGCCGGTTTTACGGTTGTAGGTGAAAATCAGAAAACTTCGAGTTATTATTTCCCTTACGTATTGTTTCGAAAAAGTCGTTTGATCCACTATTTTCTGAATTAAGTACAATGCACTTACCTCACATTTTTTTTTTCGTGGTTTCATGGTTGCTAAAATTTATAAAAATACATTAAGTACCAACAACTGGTAATTCATCAGTGGTGTCTAAAATGTTTGGATAAAGGTCGATTATCTGACATTAAGTTTAAAATTTGAAGAAAATTTTCAGACTTTATAGGCTCACTGGTCAGGTCACACTTTTTGTACATGTATTTAAAAACACCCTGTATAGTTAGTTATATACATATCTTATATTTAAAGCCTAAATAAAGTACACAGTCTGACGAAACTAGAGACACTTCTTGGTAAATTTTATAGCTGCAAATAAAATAATTTACGAATCTCTTTAATCCGCCGCCCACTAATTATTATTATCTAATTAGTATTCTTTAAATCTGACTATAGTTAAATTTCGTGGTCTCCCGATCATTCCTTTGATGAAAAATTCATTTCAGTCAGTTTAACTTAATAAAAACGCAGGACTAAGGAAAATTACGTTATAAAACTTAAAGCAATCGTGTAGCAGCAGCATATAATAAGTAAAATAATATAATAAATCATCGTGACGATGGAAAACCCAACTAAACAAAGTTTTGTCATAATTATAAAAATAATGCAAATAATTCGATGGTATCCCACAGAAAAACAATCCCAGTTTCATCTAGTAGAAGGTTATATTTTATACATTTTTTTACTTGTCGTTGTCGTCTTGTTGGTGGCTGCACAAATGTTCGTGGCGAAAGGGTACGATTTTACACAAGTTGTATTCATAGGTTTAACTCTATTCTACGCTTTAAAACTCCTGCCATTTTTAAACGGAAATGACCGCATTAAAAAGTGCATCAGTTACTTCGATGGTGACGAATTTCAGCCACGGGATGAAACGAAGCAAGAAATTCTAAGCAAGAGTGTGTTCCTTTGTCAAATAATAACAAAGCTCTTTCTCAGTGGTGTTACAAGTGCTGAAATATTGTCTGCAGTTCCTGCGTTGTTGTCCAATGAGAATGAGTTGCCGTTACCAATGTGGCTGCCCTATTCGATCAACAAAAGCTCAGTGATTTATTACACCACATATGTTTATCTGTGCATTGGTAGGTCTAACTAAGTATAAAAATAAATCATTTTATATCAATTTTAGCTATTGTATATGTTGGTTTTGCGACTGCTCTACTCGATCCGTTGATTGGAGGACTCGCGTTTCAGGCTGTCAGTCAGTTAAAAATTTTAAAACACAGACTACAGAATTTACAAAATTTCTCAAAATATGGGTCCAATTCAACTTTAATTCAAACTGGTATTTATCAACAGCTAATTGGATGTGTTGAGCACCACAACGCAATACTCAAGTATGATTTTTCTGTTATTTAATTGACATTAATTTCCGCTTATTTTAAGGTTTGTTAGTGAATACGAGCAGTGTTTTTCTTGGACTATATTTAACCAGTTTATGGGAACGACGTCTGTGTTATGTTTCATCTGCATTGCAATTACAACGGTAAGAATAATAATTTTTAACTCCGGCTTTGAAGGAAAACATTTTAGGTGCCTCTTGTCAGTATTGATGCTGTTAAATACATTATTTTCTTTTTCGTTGTAAACTGGCAAGCACTGTTTTATTGTTACTTCGGAACACTTCTGTATGAAGAGGTAATTAAATCATATAGATCACTTAATAACCTAGGTTTTATTTTATTCAGGTTTTGGCGACTATGAAACTATAATTACAAAAAGCTTTTGCAAAGCTATTGTAATTAATTTTTTTTTTTTTTTAGAGTGACACTCTTGTAACCGCTATTTATCTAAGTCAGTGGTACGAATATCCTGTGGAAGCGCAAAAAATCATATTTACGTTAATGGAACGAGCTAAACAACCTATGATCCTTTCAGCTGAGAAACTATTAGATTTAACCCTGGACACTTTTACTGCGGTAAGATTTTAAATGTGAAATATTTTCTTTTAACAAAAATTTCCAGATACTGAAAAGAAGTTATTCTTTAATCGCGTTTCTCAAATAGTTTTGTGTTAATTATCTGCACTGAAAATATCAAAATCTATGTGAGATATACTTAATAAAGTTTGTATGACGTTACAAAACAACGTAATGTGACAGTATAATACAACAATATTACGTAACGTTATTTTGCATTGTATAGAAAATTATAATAAATATTTACGAAAATTTCGACTACTTTTAAAATTACCTAAAGAAGTTCTTCTGTAGATCGCGGTTATTTTTTGAATGGATATTTTTACCATTAGAAAAAATGAATTTCAAATCAAATATTTCTAAAGTTTTGCCTCGGGGCCACAGATACACTATATTTTCAAATCACTACCTCCCAATGTACGTCTCAAAATTTTTCTGGATTTTTAGTCAACTTTTTCAAAACTCAATTTTTCAGTACTACTACATTTTGTCTTTATTTCTTAATATACGTAGTCATCTTTTGACAACAAGAAACTTAAAACATATTAAAATGGTAAATTTTTGTATGTCTTGGCTCACGACGTGTAGGAAAAATCGTCACGATAGCGATAGGGTGGGTGGGCGGGGTTAATCTATGTCTTTTTTTCTTAATATACGTAGTCAGCTGTTTTAAGGTTTTGTTGTGAAACGATGACTACGTATGTTAAAAAAAACTCAAAATATAAGCCCCGCCCACCCACCCTTCCTCATTTGTGACGATTTTTTTATTCGTCGTGAGCCAAAAAGGCGGAGCTTAATTGCAAAGTCCTTATTTCTCTACAAGAAATTACCATGTAAGACATGTTTTTGAGTACTGTATTGTTCAAGGAATACCATGTATATTAAGTGAAAATAATTAAAGCCAGATGGAAATAGTGTGCTTTAAACAACACGATTGCTCAAGAATAGGTTTCACATAGCAATTTCTCCTAGAAAAACAAGAGTGGCAATTAAGCTCCGCCCCCCTGCTAACGACAAATAAAAAAAAATTATTACAATTGAGATAGGGTGGGTGGGTGGGGCTTATCTTTTCCCTTTTTTTCTTAATATACGGAGTCATTCTTTCAGACCTAGAAACTTAGAATATGTTTAAAATGGTAAATTTTTGTAGACAAAGCTGACAGATTGAACGAGTTTTCTTTTTCACAGATAAAAATTCTGCCATTTTTCAGAATTACATCTAGAATTGGCTTCAAGCTATACATTTGGTACCTTACCTGGAAATCTAGGTCGTAACGTTATATGTTTAACGTAGAAATTCTTACAGAACCACACCACTTCAATAGTAGATAATATCTTTAAATTCTACAGAAATTTCAAAACTTAAATAGAAGACAAATTTAAATTTACTTTTGAAACATTAAAATCGAACGATAGACATTAACTTTTCTTTTTAATTGTTAAAAACGTAGCTTTTGTGTTTGATTGTTTCGCAGCTGTCATAAAATTATTTTACTGAATTACACTCGAGCTGTTGATTTCTATCCGGATAAATTTTTATTTTACAAATTCAGTCAATTTACCCTTCGGTCATTTGGTTCGAAAAACTGCCAAGATTTCTCGAGATTTAGGCCACAGTTTTTCTTGTTGAATTACCAAGCAAATAAGTTTCGTTGAGATAAAAATTTAAAATGAATAATTCAAAAATTCGCATAAATGAATAACAATTGTTGTCTTTCAATCAAGAATGTTTGAACTCAAATCGTGCGTCAAATACTTAATGCAACATAATACCTCAGTTAGTGTATGTACCTTGTAGAAGACGTCCCTCGAGTTGAAAAATGTTTACCACGAAGACAAAGATCGTTGTCAAAAATACTTTTCCAATACAAAAATTATTGTAAACAATCTTCAACTTTGGCGTTGTTCTTTAGTAATAAAAATATTAAATAAAATCAATTTCAAATTGAATATTTCTAGAATTTTGCCTCGGGCCCACAGACACACTATATTTTTCAAATCGCTACCTCCAAATATACGTCTCAAAAATTTTGTGGATTTTTAAGCAACTTGTTCACAACTCAATTTTTCAAAGTACTATATTTTGTCTTTATTTCTTAATATACGTAGTCATCTTTTGAGAACAAGAAACTTAAAACATATTTAAAATGGTAAATTTTTGTATTTCTTGGCTCACGACGTGTAGGAAAAATCGTCACGATAGAGGTGGCGCGGATGGGCGTGGTTAATATTATGCCTTTCTTTTCTTAATATATGTAGTCAGCTGTTTTAAGATTTTGTTGTGAAAAGGTGACTAGGTATATTAAAAAAAAAGCAAAATACAAGCCCCGCCCACCCATTCTTCCCCAATTGTGACGATTTCTTTAATTCGTCGTGAGTCAAGAGGGAGGAGCTTAATTTCAAAATCACATGTTTTTGAGTATTGTTCAAAGAATACCATGTATATTAAGTGAAAATTTAAACCAGATTGAAATCGGGAAGGGTGGGGCTTATCTCTTGGCTTTCTTTTTTACTTAATAGAAATAGTTTGCTTTAAACAATACGATTGCTCAAGAACAGGTTTCACATAGCAATTTCTCCTAGAAGAACAAGGAGTAGGCAATTAGGCTCCGCCCCCCTACTAACGACAAATAAAAAAAATCATCACGGTTGAGATAGGGTGTGTGAGCGGGGCTTATATATTCCCTTTTTTCTTAATAAACGCAGCCATTTTTTCAGAACGGGAAGCTTAGAACATGTTTAAAATGGTTAATATTTGTAGATAAAGATGACAGGTTGAAAGAGTTTTTTTTCACAATCTGAATTCAAGCCAGTTGTCAGCATTACATCTAGAATTGGCAAGCTATACATTTGGTAACTTATATGGAAATCTAGGTCGTAACGTTATATGTTTAATCAAGAAATTCTTACGGAACCACACCATTTTAACAGTACATAACACCTTTGAATTCTACACAAATTTCAAAAATGAAATAAAAGAAATGGTTTCGAAAAACTGCCAAAATCTCTCGAGTGGTCAGTTAGTGTATGTACCTTGTGGAAGACATCCCTCGAGTTGAAAAATGTTTACCAAGAAGACAAAGATCGTTGTCAAAAACACTACTCCAAAACAAAAATTATTGTAGACCATAATCTACAATTTTGGCGCTGATCTTCAGTAATTAAAAAACTCCCTTGTTGAAAATTTCTATACACATATTGTGCAAGTAGCAAAGAAATATTATTTTAAGACATGCGGAGACACTAGCACAATAAAATATGTAAATAACGTACTTTGAGAAAGGAGAGGATAAAAAAAGGAATAAATGGGGACAGTTTTATTTGATGATAATTTGCAAATAGGGTGAGAATTGTACTACAAGCCTTCATGTAAATAAGTTCTTTGGTTGAATTTCCTCAGGCCAAACTTCATCCTCAATCCACTTAATGAACCAGTAACTAACTCGTCTGTTTAGGTCTGGTTGATCATCCTGTCCTCTTTTCGAAGTCACACCAACTATGTCGTACATACACGAGGTCGAGTCGTTATTGTGAAATATATACAATGCACTACCAACACGATTCTAAAAATTCCTAAAGATAAGAAAGGTTAAAAAGTATATCCGCATGTTTTCGATTTTAAAAACACTGAATTTGGTTGTTGCATAATTTTTTAAAAATAAAAAACACTTGTGATTTCTATCTTCTGTTGACGCTATAGATAACTGTAGATGAGAAAGATCATTTAACTAACCTTACCATGTCGATGTGGACTTGTGCAAAAATGGAAATCTTGTGCATATGGACTTGTTGAACCATTATTACAGGGTTCTCTTAGAACATCTACTGTTACTTCGATCAACTCTTTACTTATGACTCTTGCAGCACGCCTAAGATGCCATTCGGTAACAAAAACTTTTGTAACAGGGATGTCAACATATGCCTTTAGGCATGCCGGACGCACATACGAACTCATTTCTATTGGTTTTTCTAATTTTACTAGTGCTATCTCCTGTTTCTTAGAGGGATCTTGATGTAAAATTGTCTTTGAAACTTTTATTTCCTGCCTGTGGGTAGTATCATCACCATTCGCGATCCCTAACAACACTACCGTTGGTTCACTCCTAAAACAGAGAGATACGTAAAAATTTATTAGTTCAAATAATAGCCGAGTGTAATAGACAGAGTGCATTCGTGCAATAAAACTGTGTACCAACTTTGAAGAGGATGTACAAAAAAAAACATTAAGTTATATAACACAGGGAATAAAATTACTCGTATATACACCCAACTCAAAATTATCTCTAAATTATTATGCACATAAAATAACAGACGTCAAATTTATTGATTGGCATTATTTGAGATAACTAACGTGCCGGAAAAGTAACATTTCGTTACGCGTTCATTGAAAAATTATTTTTGACCAACTGAATTATTATTTCAAAACTTACACATTATACTCAGAGCGGTGGGATATACAATGTGCTTCTGTTAAAACATATTGTTCACTGATAAGTGCTCCCATACAAAGCCACTGATTTTGAAGCCAATTTTCTCGGTCGGGATATCCTAATAGCGCTATATGGGGGAAGTTTGCTGTGCCACCCGGCCTAACACTGTGACGACATAATTGTTTCTCTTTTGTGAGCGAAGCATATTCTCTACATTCTTAAACGTAATTTGATTATGGTTTTATTTTCGATGCACACGAAGTTCATTTTTACGTACTGTTTTCAGTTATGTAACCTGGTTGATAAATTTCTGGGCAACAAATAAGGAATATTTCGCTAACTTTTTCGTCACAATAAGTGTATTTCGGTAGTTTTTTCCCCGGCCCTGGTACCTCTTCAAACATCCTGCAGATGTGTGGCACTAGACACCTACCATGAGTGTTAGATGAATTAAGGATGCAAGGCGGTCCTATAAAAAAACATAAAGACGATGAAATGATTTAAAAAAGGGACAAATGACGTACTTAGTTTAACGACACCAAAATTAATGCAAATAATATACAAGCATTTTAGAAAAATATAACTAAGTACAAAATTTTTTTCATGATTACCGGTGTTAAACATAATTTTTTTCCCAAAATGAGAAAACAAAAAGTGT